ACGTGACCAAGAAAGGAAGTCAAAGCCGATGGAAGGCGCAGGTGTGCATGAAACAGGGAATTATATTGCTGACATTGAAATTATAAATGAACTAAGATGTTCGCTGGAAAACGGCACTGTTACCAATATAAATGAAGTTAACCAAGAATACAACAATCTTCTGTGCGAGTTTGGTGCCAATACCTGGTCAGGTGACAGGAAAAAGTACTTGAAGGGTCTTATCGTTAAGCACATTCCTGATGTTAAATTTGTTAAACCTCCAAGGAAAAATGAAAGCGAGCGGATCTTAAGTGAAGTATCACTTGGCAATGCTGTTTACGTTTATGAAGAGGATGCCAACGATGAAGAAGATATAAAGTGCCTTTCAAAGGCTGCTTCTGTGCTTAGACGAATCATATTAAATACAGAGAAATGGCGGTTTGAAGGATCAATGACTGACTTTGAAGAGCCTAGAGAACTGACTTCATTTATCAAATGGATTATAATTGGAACAAAGTCTCAGGCCATTGGAAGTGTTCGTGATGTTACAAATACAACGGCAGCTAAGATTATTGCCCAACAAATCCTGGAAGCCACCAAAACAGACAGGCAAGCAACATACAACCCATCTGTTAAAGATCAAATTTACCGAAAGTTTAATGAGACGCCTCTTACCGTTAGTCTTTCGCTGATGGTCCACAACCAAACAAGAAGCAAGAAACTTGTAGACTTTCTTTCAAGGTTAAACCTTGGTATTAGCTATGAGTCTACAATACGCCTTGAAAAACGTATTGCAACTGGAGTTGCTGAGCGGATGGAGCAATGCGGTGGCTTTGTTCTCCCTCATTTTATCAAGAAAGACAAGCAGCCTTTCTTTGCTATAGACAACATAGACTTCCAAGAGTGCACGCCTGATGGACAGAATACGCTCCATGGAACAATCATTGTTGTAAATCAATCTGGCGAAGGAGAAGGCATTGCCATAAACGACCCTCTTGTCGTTCCAAGGAAACCAAAACCGATCAATATTAGCATCGCTAACGAAAAGGTTCCGCGAATTGTACCACCAAAAGAAGGAAAGCGGTTCACCAACTTCTACTTTGATTGTAACCCAAAGACAGCCCAGAAATACAAAGTATTGGATGCAATTTGGTTTTTTGCATGTTATGCACACACAAAAATTCAAGTCAGGTCTACGACAGGCAGTGTTGACGGTACTCTTGGATCAAATATGGAGACCACAAATCCTAATGAGATTTGCAATGAAATGCCGACTTGGGCAGCCACTAATTCCTTAGTTGCCAGTAAAAAAGAGCCTTTTTTAAAAACAAGCAAAACGTTAACTGGTATCATTGCACCTTTATTGAGAAGCTCTCCAACTGATTACACAACTCTGTATAAAGCGTTATGCCTTACTCAAGGAATTTCAGCCGTTGTAGCTGGAGAAGGTCACAAAACTATCATCACCTTGGATCTTGATTTATACGAAAGGGCGGTCAAGTTGCAACAAGCAAATGGAATTTGCAACTGGTTTTTGCGTATTGGGGAGCTACATACGTGTTTTGCATCGCTTCATGCACTTGGGAAATACATAGAAGGCAGTGGCATCGAAACTGTAAGCATTGAAGAGGGAATTTACTCGCCTGCAACAATACGACAAATACTAGCTGGAAAAAACTACAATAGAGGTGTCGAATACCACATTACAAACGCTTTGGCAATTTGGAAAATGCTGTTTGAAGTTTTACTCGAGGATAAGCCAAACTTAGAAGAGAGCATAAACGACTGTAATATGTTTCGACAAAAATTGCAGGATGAAAATTCTGATGTTGATGATCTCTGCAAAAAGATAGAGAATTACTTAACGGATTGTCATGTATTTTCCGAACAAAAATTCTCCAGTTCCATGCAAAAGTTTCTTCTGAGTTACCTTCATCAAATTGGAAGTCTATTGCGTCTGATTAGAGCTTCACGTCAAGGTGATTTAACACTTTATATGGTTGCCCTCGAAGAACAAGTCAAGTACTACTTTGCACATGACTTGTACAAGTATGCACGTCTAGTGCCATATCACCTGGCTGAACTACAACAGTTGAAAGACGAAGATAGGCAAACTTGGGCGACACTCGGTGACAATTTCAGCGTAATAAGGTCAGGCATCCCTTTTACAAATTTGTTTGTTGACCAAACGCTAGAACAGCAAATTCGCGGCCTTAAAGTTGCTGGGGGAATCACTGGCATTACTCAAAACGAATCGGCATTGGAAAGATACCTTTTAATTGCCCCAGAGCTCAAGCGTTTGGTAGAAAGTTTCAAAACATGTTACACTATAAACAACACAAAAGCAAAGAAAATGCACCATCAGCTAACAGGGTCGATGGCATCAAGGCTACAGCGGAATGCAGCAAAGATAAATATTGGAATACTTCAGCACTGTAATGGCAATCCATTCTCTGTAGATACAGGTTTAATGAATATAGCCTCAAATATGGCAGTGTCATCCACAGCAGAAAAAGATATTGTTGAAAGGGATAAAAAAGGGGAAGCAGCATTCAAAATTTATGTTGCCAGTAGGCTAGTGAAGGCAACAGCAAAGATTTCCATGTGGGACCCTATGAAGAAGCTTTCGTTGAGATCGTTCGCTAATTGGCAAAAGAAAGAACGGTGCATAGTGAATAAAAAGGTTATCAAGCTTAGAGAAGATCGACAGCTTCTTGCGAGATTTCTAGTCATTCAACGATCAAGACCAGAGCTGCTGCAGAAACTTAACGATGTAATAGGTACATACGAGTTCTCTACAATCCCAAGATCATTGTTTTCAACAGATGGGCAACTTTTCATCCCAACTGATAAAAACGCCTTTGTCAAATCGTTGGAGTCACATGTTGATGCTGCAGATCTTGCAGAAACGGCGACGGAACAAAGCGCAAAGAGAATTTGTATCATTGATGCTATGGCCGTCGTTCAAACTGTTAAGAAAGGGACTAACATGTCAACCTGCGCCGAATTTGCTGAAGTCTTCACCAATATCATTAAAAACATTCTTGATAATTATGATGAAGGAAGGGTTATTTTTGATCGATACATCGAAAATTCTTTAAAATCTCAGACAAGAGTGAAGCGCAATTCCGGCACAGCTCCCATTAAATTTCAAATCAACGATGAAACAAATATTAAAAATGTTCCATTGAAGATCTTTCTTTCTCACGTAGAAACGAAAAGTCAACTGACAAAATACCTTGGGGAAATATTGTTACGTGAATACCATGGAAGCCGGTTTTCATTGATTGTAGTTTATGGAACAACCACCTATTCAAACCGTCCTGCAGTTTTCAGTCCCACTATCTTGCACCATAATCATGAAGAAGCAGATACCATCATCCCCCTTCATGTACTGGATGCTCTAGATTTATCACCCTACTGCAATATTGATGTGAGGTCTCCGGACACAGACGTTTTCGTAATGTTAATTGATCTTTGCGCATCTCATGAACTTGCAGGGCGCATCAATTTTGTTACAGGGCAAGGAAAGTTTCACAGAAGCATTGAAGTGAAGCGTATTTCTGCAGCACTTGGCGACGAAAAATCAAAAGCTTTGATAGGTTTACATTCAATTTCTGGAGCAGATTGGGGTGGAAAATTTTTTGGAATTTCCAAACGGAACTGGATAACTTCGTTTCTCAAGCAATCTGCAGATAATGGCATCGTCCATGCTTTACAGTCACTAGGAGAAAGGAACTTTGATTTGGAAGAAAGTCTTGATAGCATTCAAGAGTTTATATGTCTCCTGTATTCACCATCGACGAAATCAACCACAGTAAACCAATTAAGATGGGAGCTGTTTAGCAGAAAAAACATGGAAGCAGAAAAGTTACCTCCAACTTTAGGAGCATTGATTCCTCATATACAAAGATCAAATTTTATTGCTGGAATTTTAAAGGGATATAAAACTGCGGTTAGTGAAATTCAACCTCTTGTGGGAAACGGTTGGCAAATGGATGAGGATATAGAAGTACCGATAAAGTGCCTTGAGCTGCCAGCACCGCAGTCAGTTCTTGAACTTGTCAAATGCGGATGCAAGGGTCGATGCAAGGGACAAGGGAACTGTTCGTGTTTGAAGAATGGGCTGTCATGCACTGAACTATGCAAATGTGTGGATTGCGAAAATATTAAAGACTACGCCGCAGATGAAGAGACAGACACCGATTCTGGAGAGGAAGTCGAAATTCCTTAACGTATGTAAACTGTTCGTTGTTCCTTAATGCACCTATATTCTCGGCAGCTTTCCATGTTATCCACGAAAGTTTTGTAGAAATTTCTGCTTTTTAGCAATTAAGAGACATCTCCTTCAACGGGTCGTTGATGGCGTCCCCCTAAATTGAGGCCCCTCTCTTCCAATGTTTAGAAACTGCAGAAATGACTCTGATGCGATTAAAAATTGTTTTCTTCAGAATATCTCATTGTAGAAACCAATAAAAATATTCATTTCCATATATGGAAATTGGGGCAAAAAGTCACGTGATAAATAATATTAATTCCTAAAACCAGGACCCAGTATTTATAGATTTCCCCAGTTAACATTTGAAAACAATTTGGTGAATTTAAACTCAATTTTTATCATCTATTGTGATTGGGACATTTTTCTCCTCCGCAGAGACACTTGCTGTGACCGGTCATGATTTGCACCCCCGTAAAACCCCTTCCGCTGACCAAAAAAAATGGCACCTATGATTTTTATATCATTGATAGATATTTGAAGGCATTCATGCAAAAAAATCAATTTTGGCACGCAAATCGAGCGGAATTACACATGAAACCCGACTAAATCCTGGAAATTTCAGGAATTGAGAAAATTCTTTATAAATTCACTTTTTTGCTCACGAATTTTTCTCAAAGAACATAATATATAAATAAAATTACACCCAGAGCTAATTTTATGGCAAAGAAAAAACACTGTTTTAATATTCAAATGATTGAAAGATCATCAAAGTAGCAACATAATAATCTTTGAAGATACTAACATCTTATTTTTCCAGACTGTGTTGGTTGTGGTGCTATGCTGCTTGTTTCAGATAGGGCAGGTTCTCCTGTAATCGGTAAAAGCATAAGTGTTGAGCAGTTTGCCTTAAAGACATAGGCTCATTGTCAAATAACTAATAACTAAAGGCAGTGATAATGTTTATATTTATACGACAACATGTCAATCGTGCTACAAAAAATTATTTAACTGTAAAATTAAATAATCTTGAGACCGGAATAGACGGGGAGGCGGGAATAAACAGGGTGGGTGGAAAAATTCTCAAATCCCAATAAACATGCGGCTGGAGAAAACGGGGTGGGTGTGAATTTCACAAATCCAAACAGACAGGGTGTCTCGAATAGATGGGATGGGCGGGAAACTTTCAAAATAATAATAAACGTTGTGAATAGCTTGCAGTCCCCTTAAATTGGAAACAAAAGGGATCAGTGGTGGCGCCAGAAATCTTCCGACAGAGGGGTTGGAGCTTCCGACAGGGGGGCTAAAATGACTAAAATATGCAGTTTTCGTACGTTACTTTGTCAAATTTGCTCCGACAATAATCTAAAATTTCCTCCGATGGGGGGGCTAGATGCTTCCGACGGAGGGGCTGTAGCCCCCCTAGCCCTCCCCTGGCGCCACCACTGGAAGGGATATAAACAAGACAGTGGATTCTTAAAACACAACAAATATGTTTATAACACAACAATTTCATAAAAATATTCTCAATTTTTCCTTTTGATGCCCTTCCTTTCTATACGACGAGATTCGTTCATTCTTAATACATGAAGCTGGCGAAGAATAAATAGGGGGTTTCGAATAAGAATTTCAACAGCGGATTTTTTTCGAAAAATTAATAGAAAAGTTGAAAAACAGCATACCGTCATCCCTGATTATATGAAATTCAAATGTAAAACTTTGACATTCTTTAACTCTTCATTTAATCTTCACTCAAAACTGTAAACTTTTTCTCAATCCTATTTTTTCCTTACAAAACAAAATGACCCATAATTCCTTACTTAAACTTGTAAATGCTTCCCCCATTTCTTGCAATAACAAAAGAGTAGAATGCATACATACGTTTGTCAGGTTGGGGTTCGCCTAAACCCATACTTGCCACAGCCTAGATAGAAAAACATTATGTGTGAGAAATACTCAAATAACTGAGCAACGACTTATTCAGAAATCTCTGAAATAGATTTTGGATCCTTCTTTTAAAATGAAACTTTCTGAAGAAATAAAACCTAGTACGGACTAAGAGAATATTTTGAAACTCAATGACACTTTCTAAATCTTTGGTAGAAGATGCATTCGCAACTACATCTTATTGTTCTTTGATTAGTCACTTTGCTGTTAAAGGAGCACGCCTAAAGTCACAGTTGAAGCAGTGGTTGGTATTCCTGTAGCACAAACTCAGATACCTCTCTCCGCCACCCTTCTACTAGTGCACTGTAGGTCTACTTTCATTCCTATGAACACTGCCAAATATCATTCTTAGGTTTAGTCATTGATAAGGCCATACTTTTTTTATTTTTACATCATTCAAAAAAAACTCTAAATAATACATGATACAACTACTGTGCCCATCCTGGTGGGAATAGACACTGGGTCATCGGAGTTCCCTCCAAGGACGGGCACTTACAATTTGAATTTAATATTCAAAGAGAGAAAAGCCAACAAAGCAAAGAAAACAAACATAGAATGAACAACAATGAAAACGTTACATTCTGACTCACACTCAATGACGGGCCATACTTCAATTGCACAGACATCCTTTAATACAGCATAACAACAGTATCACAGAAAATAGTACTTTATAAAAAACTTTAAACACTAGCCTGGTAATTTAACAAGGAGGAAAAATAATTATAATTCATAATGCTTACTGCATACGATGTGATGGAAGACTTTGAGAAAAGCCTTTCAGACTCTTTAAATTTTCTGTTTCTTTTCTCCACTTTTTGGTTGGGTCCAGTTCTAAAATAATGTTAAGCTAGTTACAAGCTGTTTTGTGTGATCTTTAGAACAAATTATCAATCAATCAAATTACAAAAAAGTATCAGAGAAAATATAACAAAAGTCAATATTGCACATTATCATATAACAGAATTATAAAATATCTTATTATATCAAAGTTTATTCATAATTCCTTAACATATTAAATGCTTGAGACATACTGTTCTACCTGATCATTTCTTTTGGTCTCATTAATTTTTCTAATTATTGCTTAACATTCTGGTCGAGACTCAAGCTCAATATAAAAACTTTGCTACTTTGCAATAATATTATACAATCAAGATTCAAGGTATTAACAACATAATACCATGCCAAACAACAAAGTTTGGATTTAAATAACAAAATAATGAAGTTAGTTCTGAATTTGTATCAAATATTATTCTCGTATTAGTAAAAAACAGTAATACCTGCTAGTGAGAAGCCTGTCCCATCCTCTAATGATATTGCCATAAAGCTGTGTGTCTTCCAAATAACTGCCTTCAAATGCATAAATTTGTCTCTCAAGGTTGGCAAGGTTTTCCTTAAAAACAAAAATTCATGATGCAATATTTTCAAAAACATAGCAGCTACTAGTAAGAAATCAAACTAATCTTTATCTCTAAAATCACGAAAATTCCTTTACAGTGCATCTCTGAGTTTCATGCTTGATGCAATGATAAGATAACTCAACAGTGCAGCCCCTTCACAGGTATAATTTACAGCTGGCTTGTGGATCAATGTTTATTAAAAAAGATAAGAGATGATAAATTAACTTTAAAGTGTATTAACTTATGATTAAAATATTTAATAGCTGGACTATCAAAATAATATTTTACTCTGAAAATCTATTCCAACTAGTCTTTGTTTAATTACAACTAGGGAAAAAATGCCTGTGGAAACTTTTTAAAGCCCAACAGCAAAAAAGGTTTGGAGGATGCTACAGAAAAATATAGTAAGAGATGGGTTGGAGAGTATTTGCAAAATAAGCCAATTTGTTTACAAAATCTTAGAAAGCTTAAAAAAGTGTAAACATGCACACATGAAAAGCTTTCATCTGAAACTCCTCTCACATTCTTTCTTGATTTTGCCTTTCAGAAAACTCTAACTGTTTCAAGTATATTCTGAACATCTTTTTTGTCTAAGTTGCAGATATTATTACTAGAAGCATCATGCTAAGAACACCAAAGTTGCCTCTAGACTATATTAGTAACAAAAATCAAAACTCTCTATTTCTTTTTCCTGTCACCTAAGAGGTCGAGGAAATCATTCTAAACCTTAATCTGTCAAAATCTGTTGGACCACACAGTATCTTCATCAACTTTTTTTAAAATTCTAGGCCCTCACATCTCTCAAGCCCTAGCTAAACGCGTCAATCAATCTTTCCTTAAAGTCATCTTTCCTTCTAAACTCAAGCTAGCTAAGGTAATCTCTATTTACAAAAAAGATGACTCCAAAATAGCCTCTAACGACCTATCTCTCCATAACCTCTATTCAGAAAATTGTATGAGATTTTAATGTACAGAAGACTTTACTTCTTTCTCACCTTCCACACAACAATACCTCCTCAGTCATTTTCGTTTAGCACCTGCGATTGCACCCGCACACGCATGCTTTTCATCACACGCGCAAACAGGTGTTTTTGCAGTTTTCTGTTAACATCAATTTCCCATGGTGTCATGATTGTTTATCCTTTTCCCTTGTTACTTGATTAGGAATTTTGACCAGAATATGATTTATCCAATTTTCGAAAGTGATGTTTGGCTCAACTTAGCGTCTCGTCTTTCAGCTAAGTCGCCAGCCATTAGCATGCTAAGTGTAATAAATGATTTCCTGTCAAAACGTAATTGTGCCCTGAGAGCAAGTAGCTGTAGGAAACAATTTTTATTTGCTCTTGTATATAACTTTGGAGAGTAACGACGACTTTTGAAAGATGGCTGCTAAGGGAAACAAAATCTGTTATGTATTTATTTAATTGAGTTTTGCTCTTGCACGTATTCGAGTGGCTTTTACCTTTCTTGTTCCTTTTACCAATTGTATCAGGTTATCACTTCAAATTTTCTTACAAGTGCAATCGCACATGCAAATTTGTTTACATGTGCGATTTGCCACACACACGTAATTTTGCTCACAAAAAGGACTGCATCCTTTGCAATTTGGATTCAAGGAAAATCATTCACTTTATAATTTACACTTATTTGTATACTGAGGTTGTGAGGTAAACTCGTGATAGTAAAAGATATTGCTGTGGTATATTTCTTAATTTACAAACAAAGCCTTTGATACAGTCAATCACAATACTTTGCTCTCTAAACTTGAATGCTATGGTATCAGAGGAAATGCTCTCAGATGGTTTGCTTCATATCTATAAGACAGAACCCGATATGTTTCAATTAATGGAACTAACTCTGATTGTATGAATGTTAATCGTGATGTACCTCAGGGATGGGTACTTGGACCTCTTCTCTTTCTAGTTTTCATTGATGACTTGCCTAATGTTTCAAGAAAAATTGAAATTTTATTTCTTTGCTGATGATGCCATCATTTACTATGGTACAGAAACTCTTGATAAATATGTTAAAACAGTTAATATTAAGCTTAAATTCATCAAAGAATGGCTTGATGCCAATAAACTATCATTGAATATAGACAAAACTAATCATGTTATCTTCCATTCTAATATTTAGGTTGCAAAAAAGCTGTCATAGCTATTTCACGCCAACCCTCTTGTCCTCCTTCTCTTCCCCTTTTTAAAAAGCTCAAACTTCTCAGACTTCAAGATATTTTTCAGCTGAGACTGTTAACATTTGTTTTTGAATCTAATAACACAAAAACCCTCTCTTGCTTTCATGATTACTTTTCTTTCAATATGTAAATATTCACCAACACTCTACTAGGCAATCTTAGTGATTTGTTTTTGACTCATAGAAACAGTTTTCCGTATGGCCAAGTCTATTCAATATATGGGGGCAAAAATGTGGAATGCCACTATTTTTCAACTTGGTCGATACATAGATGGTATTTTCTATGGATGAGTCAAAACACCTTACAGACAATTTCCTACTTCTTGCACTACAAATTAAACAAAACACATCTAAGTTACTAGGGGGTAATCTCTCTTCGATTAGTTTATAAACTACTGAGAGAGTTTCCTCTTTTAAATAATTTCCTGTGTACAATACTAGCTTGTTTCTCTACTCGGTATTTGTTCTGTAATGTTTATATTATTAAACTTCCTTTTACATTCTTTATACTTAAAAAACTTATTATTTGATTAATCGACAACAAATGACAACAAACAACTGACAACAAATGACACTGACAACAAATGAGCTGAACTGAATGAAATGAAAGACCAAAAAAGTATAAACAGGCACATTTAACTATAGTGACTGTAAATAGAGTGTGACTGTAAGCAGAGCTAAATCGAATAGTGTCGCATACTAGGGTCTAAGACTTTAAGCCGAGTGACTATAAGCAGAGTGGACTGTAACCAGATTCATTTTCCCTAAAGCTGACATCTATTACATTTCCCAAAAACCAGTTAATTGTGGAGGGCACCATATTTTTTGAATTTTCTTCAAGTCAAGAGACATGTCACCATTTGGTTCACAAATCGCTTTTACTTTTTTCACAAAGTAAATCTTTGGGAAAGATTAAAAAGATGCAATAAACAACCAAATTACAATTTATTGCTGGAAATTTTCTCAAAAAAATTAGAAACCTTTGTGTAAACATTTGTGTGTACTTTTGGTAGAGCTAATGTACACAATTCTTTCACCTCACAGAAAAATTTTAGTCCTGTTTCCCAGGTTGCCAGGGGGTGGGGGGATATATTTTGCAGCTCTGCCATACATTCTGTTTTTCCTGCTTTTATATTTATCATTAAGAAGCCTAGGATCGCTGTTCGGAAACCGTACACATAACAGTTTTAGTCTCGAAATGGAAGGTACAAGGATAGCTGGTCGCTGACTACAGACCCGTGAGTCCATGGTTTGAGTCTCTGACATAACCAAGCTTTCCCTCAGAGTGAGGAGTGTTGCCATCTCTATGTAATTCCAGGCATAGGAATCATGAGGTGTGGACACATCAAGAGGATTGTAAGGACCAGGACACTGCTTGCTAAGCAAAGCTTCTCAGTACCCTGAAACTACCTTCGGAAGCTAGGTAGCAAACAAAACAAAACAATACAATACAATACAATACAATACAATACAATTTTAAAGTGCACTTTTAGTCTTCTATTGATAGACAGTTGGCTAAGAATTCTTTCACTGCTTCATGTATGTATACCAAGTGAACCTTTGTTAATTACAAGACTTTAGCATCAAAATTGATCGTATAATAGCCTCCACTTGCATTAGATTTTACGACTTTGCCCAACTTGACATCATCAAAGAATGATAAAATTAAACGCGACGTCGCAAACCCCGTGGTAAATGATGTTTTCCGATATTTGTTATAAACAACGCTGTAAAACCTTTCTAGGTCTGTATTTCTAGGCGGAATTTGAAAAAATGCTTTTCAGCATGGTATTTTAAGAATTTGGCTTACTGAAGGAAGACTGTGCCTCTGGACCAGGCATAACGAGAGAGTTCGAAACGATATTATGGTGGTGACACAAAACAATGTTCAAAACAATTACATAGGGCCACACTATATCAGTTCTCGTTAGATAAATGATGCAGAAATTATCTGACAGATAAAAAAAATGATTTATATATCAAATGATTACCGCTAATTCTTCTTTGTGCTTCAGAAGCTCCGCTAATTCAGATCTTGTATCTAATTGTTTTCCTCCATTTTCACCCGCCATTTTGGTATCTATTCAGTTGCCTCGATTTCACAAGCTCCTCCACAATAATTTATCAGGCTTCTTAGCACAATACTCGGAAATTTCATGGGTGTGGTAGGGCGAAGCCCCCCCTTCCCCACAAGAAAAAAATACTGGAAAAATTTAAATTTCTGCCTGTAAATTTCTGTGTCCGAAAATGTGGAAAATGGTGAGTGAAGGCTAAGAAGAGTTAAATAATGCGAAGACTTGTTTGAGAAATCTCAATCTTTGACTTCTTTTCAACTATAATTGCTCTGACGAGTTTTCCTTATATCTTCCGATGTCAAATAACTATTTCAAGTGAAAAATATGTGTCTGTTAAATTGACTTTATTGCTACCCCGCGAAAAATGACCAATTAACGCTTCTGCACACAAAATTTAAACAATAGGCTAAAAGCTTTGATTGTCAGATAAATATTCGCTATGGTTGACATTTATTCGAATATTTCTTCTCTGCATTTTTCATGTGGTTCATCGATTCTGTACGCGTGAATGCGTTGATTTTTATGCCCGATTCTTGAGGTTTTGACAGTTTGAATGCAGTAAGGAAATTCGTTTGTCATTATAACATATGACATCTAATTTTGAGAAAAAATACATTTGGAGGCTGAAGAAAGTTTGCCATAGAGAAAAAATGTTCCAATCAATCAATCACTCAGCGCCCACGCAGCAAATTGGATGTTATTACCGCAAGTCCCGATTGTAACTATCATATTTTCATCCAGGTGCTCAATTTATTTTCTAACTATATTATCGTTTTTTAATCCTGATTGTATTTTGATTGCATTTGAGATCAGTGCTTGGATGCCGGTGGACTTCATAGTTGCCTTCTGGTGTAATTTTATTCGAGGGCAAAATAACTCTTTCAAACAGCGTACAAGATATACACGAATCAAATGGGATTTCCAGGGATTTTCAGATTAAGCAATAGGATGTCCCTGAAAGGGGTACGAGATTTCCATGGAGTGACTTGTCCCTTGATTTTAAAAAGGAATAAAAGTATGGGTAAGGGAAGAACAAATAACAAAGCAGCAGCAATGCAAAGATGCACCATTTATTCAAATATTGGTTGAGCAATATTATTCTACTGCATGTATAAAGTCCCGCCATCATAAATAATTTTACAACACATCCCTTAAAGTTTGTAGTGTTCTATTTTTCCGCTTTGTTTGAAACGATCTTCCCAAGCACAACCGCTATTTAGAATTTTGGTTTCGGGATGGTTGGCTGATAGTCTTTGAGAAGATTCAGCAACACGCTCTGCAAATTAGAAAGAGGAGTTCATGAGAGGAGCGAAGGATTATTGGGGAATTACTCTAGAGCCCTATCTAACTACTGGTCTTTGTTATTGAAAAGGATCCCTCGATAAATTGTCAAATTTCTTTGATCAAAGCTCAGTTCGTGTTGTTATGATCAAGTAGCAGAGAATTAACTTAAAGGGAAAAGATGACTGGATGAAAAAGTACATTTCATTATAAAAAAACTAAAGATCAAATACAAACGCGTTGAGTGGCAAAAGCTTAAAAAAGTTTATTTCAAAACCAGTTTTTAAACATTAATTGGCATAGACTGACGTATCCTTTTTATCAAATGAGGTAAATACCACATTAGATTCTAGCAGTTTTGGAATCGATCTACACACAAACTAAAAAACCGCCATTGTGTAGACAGAAGTAGTTCATTTTCTCTTTTGGCCTCCATTGGTAATTTTCAATAGGCATGCCGCACGCACCACTGATTGGCCAACTTTGCCGGTCATGTTCTGGAGTTTTCTGATTGGTTAATTTAGATCCACAACAGGGTTTATATTTTCCATGGTGTTCTTTCGGCCCTTATTCTGACATTTTATACTCTGAGGAGTGTCAGATGAAAAAGCATTAAGTAGTATTAGTATGTTGTGAAACGTTTGCTTTTTCAAAGCCATTTTCTTGCGGTTACTTTAATGTAGATAAATTAGCTGATTTGATCACATAAACAGGTACATTTGCAGGCTTCATACGTACCATGACAGTCCACTTTCGGTTCTCTGCCTCATCCCAAACCAAAGACCGGTCTGAATAAAAAACCTCATCATCTACTTCTTCCTGTTTGCGAGGCAAGCAGTGTAAGAAGCACCAATTGTCAGCAGCTAACGATGTCAGCTAAAGGGAAGTAGAAACAATAATAAAAAGCAAATAAATTATTAGCAGAGTTATCTATCACAGCCTATGCTTAAAATGTGGAATGGCTGTTAATAATTAAAACTTTACAAACCAACAGCACACCTACAACTGTATCAGGATAATTTACAATCCTATTCGCATAGCTAGAAAAAAAGATATGTAAAAGTGTACAGATATAAGATATATTCCAGGAGGCATTTCTCGTGGCTCTTTATTGATTAGCAGCCTTTCAGATTCTACCTTCACAGCAGCTTTAAGATTAACAGCTTAATTCAGGCATTTAGAATTTTCTTATCGCATTTAAAACCATAAAAATGTTTAAAAATCAAACAAGATAAGCTACAAAACGGTTAAATTGGCAAATAAAGTTTCATACGATCGCTTAAAGGGCCTCTCCAGCCAAAATTTGCAATTGCATTTTATTGGCTAATCTATAGGAGTTTAACCTGCTGATCACGAATTCGTTATTCGTTTTTCGATATTTTTTACAGTTTGTGAGATATAAGCTTTTGCATTTCGATAATTGAATTGAATTAGCCGACAAGTATAATTATTGAATAGAATAATTGTAAACATTTAATATTTTTCGATCCTAAAAAGCACCTGCTGTAGATTTAGATGCAGTTATCAACGCGTGACCATGACTCCTTCGCGATTCGGTGGAAGATATACGAAATTCATGACGAACGAGAGCTGCACACTGTGACGTCAGAATGTCACAAAACTGATTCGGCTTTTGTCGTTTTTTTCTCTCGGAAAGGTGCAACTTTAAAGCCTTATAACTTCTAAACTAATCGAAACTTTGCAAAAACAACAACTTGCCATAATACACGCACCAGATACTAACTTTTTAGTCAATAAAAAAAATTTTTTTTTTGGCTGGAGAGGCCCTTTAACAGCGTCAGCAGCATTTTCATAATTTTTTTTGCGGTTAATCTGTCAAGTCAATTGGAGTGAAACAACGGAAAAGGTGTGCGACTAAAACAAATTGTACGGAATTCCTGGAGGAGAGTGAACGTTAGAAAAAAGACTGTGATGAAAGCAATTTTTGTATTTAAACAGGTGAAAAATTACAAAAGATTTTTTGAAACACCAGCGGAGGATTAAGAAACCGCTTATAATAAAACTTTTAGATAAAGAGCGAAATATTATATACATATTAGATTGCAAAATAATAACAAACATATAGTTGTACATTTTCTGACAAGAAATTCACACGGAAGGTTCAAGATTGTTGAAATCTTAAAACTAATTAAGAAAAAGGACCAGGCTTGACGTCATAACTTTCATCTATATGAGCAAAAAAGACAAGCTAGTAATGTCTTTGTGATGAAGAAAAACAGTAGCAAAGATTTTAACATTCTTTTTAAGAATGTTTTAAGAATAATTTCAGGCTCGCAATCACGAATTTTTAAGAATATAGAGACTCAGAAATTTAACTATTCTTATGAAAATAGGCGTATACTGGCCCGTTGCTATAAGTGTGTGGGCGTGTAGGGTGTGATACCCCCTTGTAAAAAATTTGATTGCAAAATCGAGGAGTATTTTGCCATCTTGGGGTGCTTAGTCGACAAGCTTTCAAACTTATCGGCAAATAAAGGATGATTCACCCATTTTCTCGGCAAATGGGACTTGAAAACCCCCCTGAACGCGTTAGCTAGAGACAGGCTTAGGTGTACATCACCAAATCTCTTAAGCAAGAACTGTTTAAACCTGTATCTTGTTAAAAGAGACTGTTTTAACCTGTATCTTGAATACCTTCTGAAAAAGTATGGAGTTTATAGGAAGAATTCAAAATCTTACTTTCTTTGTTACTTGGTAACCAGCAAAAGCCTTTAATCTCGCAGCCTTCTCTTCTTCCTGTCCCATGCTAATCCAAGTGTCAGTGACGATAACATTGGCACCTTTGCATGCTTCACGCGGGTCGTTAGTGTACGCTATCTTGGTGGAGCACTAAATTGGTAGGAAGGAGATTCCGTTGAAAATTGAGAATGACCTCTGCAGTACATTACGGAATCAGTTTATCAAATAATAAGGGCATATGATAACAGAGGCGGCGAGAAATAAGGGAAAGAAGAGTGCCGCTTAGGATTGCAACTGTGTTTTTGTGCGCATCTTTGTCACAAAAACGAAATTTCTCCACAATTTAAGGGTTTTGCAGCCTCTCCACGGCTCAACTTTTGAAAACATAAACAGTTTTTTCAAAATATGATTGTATAAATAACGTGGCTACATACATAAAATTTCAATCTATATAAAACACGTGACAAAAGCAAAAACATTGGCAAAAATAATAAATTTCTGAGAAGTCCAAAATTCGAAAAAATGAATAATGTTACCTGTTCTGCAAATTCATCTGCGTCTTTGGCGACTTCTGGGAACACCTCATAACCCTGGAAGCATTTGACATCAAAGAGTTAGAAGTTTGATAGAACAAGAAAATATCAGAACAGGAAGTTTAATAGAACAATAAAGACACAAACATTATTATATATTGACACAATGCTCTTTCGTCTAGAAAAATTGGGCTCCAAAACGTGTAATTTTCAGATTTCTTGTAGTGACAAAGGGACAAAAAAGCTATGCTAAGTGTGGCACAATTGAAAATCTCCGTTATGGAAAATACCTTTGGTGTAGCAATGTTCAAGTCTACACCAAGTCTGGGTGCCGCCATCATTAACGAGTGGACAATGTTATTACCATCTCCAACCCAGGCCATTTTCAACCCGCGCAAGTGTCCATAATGTTCCTATTTAGCAAAAATAAAGACAAAAATCACAGGACAGAGTTCAGGAGGCAATAACAAATGTCAAAGGTCAATGGTGCGGTTCCTTAAAAAACTGGCAGCATGTTCATACAACAAAACTGTACAGGCTATATTGGCTATATTCTTTATATAGCAGAGATTCCGACAAGAAATATGTCCATCAAATATCAACGAAAACATTGCTAATCATTTAAAAAGAGCCATCAAAGGTCAGTGTTCACAAGACAATAACAAATGTCAAAGGTCAATCATCCGTTTCATAAAGACACTGGCAGCATGTTCAAACAAAAAAACTGTACAGGCTATCTATTCTAAATATAGCAGAGAGGCTGACAAGAAATGTGTGTATCGAATATCAACAAAAATATAGTCTATTGGTTCAAAAATACCATTTAACACATTATTTTACCATCAATACTGTAAATAAAACTCTAATCTTGCTCAAGTACAAGTAGTTCTTCTTCACATCTTGCTATGTGCAAATGCTACAGGTAAGGAAATAAAAGATAAGTAGAAATTATTAACTGATCTTGAAGAATGAATATAGCAAGTAACAATCATACCATTAAGGTCTGGAAATCGGCCAAGCTCTGCAAAGGGTGGTATGTTTCTGAAAGACCACTGAAAAAGAAACAGCACCTCATTGTTAAAAGTGAGAAGGAAAACAAAATGTAGCATAACATTGATCTATTAAAGAGATTATCAAGGCAAATACATGTTTTTGTACATTCCGGCAGTATCTAACAATACAGTTCTTAGTGAATCATATTGAAACGCGAAAATTCAAAAAGCTACCTACGAAAGAAACATGCAAATGGCGTAGGCAAATAAAAAAGCATTTAAAGGTATTCCTTAGCAACGAAAATTTAAATATTAAGTTTCAAATACATATGAACATAGAATTTTAGAATAATTACTTGACAATTGGTACTGATGCCTCACTAGACATTTCCTCAAGATCAGAATGACCGTAAACTCTTGCCAGAGCAATATCACTGAGGCGTGACAACACCCTGGAAAGCAAGGAAACCCTTCAAATGATTGACTGACATCAACAATTCTTCATTTCAGCCTATTGCTGGCCAATATTATACTTATTATGAACAAATTTTAGCCAAATATGAAAAACGAATATAATTGGTGATTTTAGGATCAAGAAAATCTTTTAACAATGTTTTGAAGTATTTTGGAGACCAGCCTATATTCTTCTGTTTCACGTAGAGTGGGATTGATTATGGTGATCCACTCAGTTCAGCTTGAAAAACAGTGTGTGTTATAGATGGCCTCTGCAGATCAAATCAGTTATTGCTATAGACAGACGGTACTGCTGCATCTGGCATTCTACTGTGAGCAGAATGTTTTACCTGGGTAAAAATCATTACCGCAAATAATACATCATTACATTGGCACAATGATATATATCATTTCATAAAAGAGATGTAGCACATCTTTGAAAAATGCAAGTCATTTAGGATAGAATAGAGATAGGAAGTCACTAATCTAGAAAGAAAGTATTTTAAAAAGTCTAGTCAGGGGGGGCATGGAGTACATAAAGTTTGGGTAGCGATAATAACAATAAACCAAGCTAAAAAGGTAGGGACATGGCCCAGGCCTACTGCCCTTCCATTTATTGCAGCCTCTGAATAGTGAACAATAATGATACCTTGCAGTGTCTTTGATGGTCTCATTCACACCAAGATGGGCATCGTCCGGACTGAGGGAAATAGCATGACCTCCAAGAACCGAGAACCCTGTTGATGAGTTGTGTACATACATTATACATTTAAGTCTTGCTATGCTTACAGTTTGACTCTACATAGTTTTTAACCTTCGATAGGTATGAAGAGTATTTACTTTTCAAGGGTTTGCTGCAATGATTCAGATAGCTATTTCTTTTAATCATTTATTGTTTGTTATCAAACAGCTAAGTTTATAGGCTTCTCAACGCCATCCACGGTCAAATATCATTATTTAGTAAAAAAAGGAGCGCAAAAAGGCAATGTTTCACTTTAATTTGACCCAGTGAAAACAAAGAAAAAAATAAAATATTCTTTCAAGGGACGCTTTCGTGTGCCAGAACTTCTACTTGAACAAGATATACAGACGTTTTCATACGCGCCATCTGAAATGTTATTAACTATGTCAGCTTCTAACCGAATGCCTAAAGAATCGATCAAGCAAGTAGTGAAGAGTGACGGGGGTCATAGCCCACTACATCTTGGTAGGTTCGATTCGATATTTCATCAAAATGCGATGCAAAAATGTTGAAGAAGGGGTAGTATTTTGGTAAAACATTTTTCATGTTGTTCTTCCATGGTTGTGAAACTACCTTTACTTAGCCAAAATTTAATCATTGGCGTTTCCAATTGGTAAAATTGGTGCCCCCTGTTGGTAAAAGAGCATGGCTTGACTTCTTTAGAGCACAGATAAGTAGCTGGCGTAGCCCCTGCAGAATGAACATTGTAGAAAATAAAGAACACCGCAACACGCCGAGAAGAAACAACAATAAACACAAGAAAATTTGGCTACAATTAAGCAGAGTGTTTGTTCGCGATGCGTCGCGTTGTTCCTTATTTCATACTTTTTTTTATACTTAATACTTTTCGCTGCAAGCATTCTATTTGAGTTCGCCAAGCAGCTGAAGCAGTTAACTTTCACTAGAATAAAGTACCAAACAAAAGTAGCATGGGTACCTCCTTCAGTGGATGATCTTGTTCGAGTGCTTCTCTTCTGGAATATCATAGCAAGGGTTTTCCCTTCCAGTGGTCTGAAATTCTACGACGGCAAGAGTTTACAGCTTGACTCAAAACCTGACAAATTGTAAGTAAAGAAGTAAATTGACAAATAACATAACATACCCGAATTCTGGAGGGGCTAATCTGCAAATGCAAATGCACCGGACCGTAGGCACTATTTTTCTTGAGGGATACGAGCCACCCCTCCCCCCCCCCCTAAAGAAAATAATTACGAAAATCCTTAGAACAATTCCTAAGAACATTTCCATTGTTACCAATTTCCGTTAACAAATCAATATCACTTATTATATACCAATTGTGCCCCCAATAATTATACGCTTTCTACGGTACTGCAAATACACGGTGATTTTGTATCGTTTTCAGTAAATTTTGGGAATGATTGGGACTGAACCCACCCCCCCCACCCACCCCTAATTTGGAATTTATTTGGAGCCATGATAGTATCTGTCGTGTATTTAGACGTTTAGCATAAGGAGTCTATAGATGAGCGATAATCGTTGTATATAAGAGAAAAATGAAAATCCAAAAATAGGTCAGAGACAATAATTTTGCCTTTATCTTTACAGTGGAATCCCGATATAACGAAGGGAACCAGAAAATATATCGTTATATCGGGAGTTCGTTAAACCGAGAGATAAGGTTTTTTTTGCGTCCATTCGCAGTTCACGCCTGCGGTGGGCTTGTTTAGGCTATATCTACCCTCTGTGCACATTTACCTCCAAAAAACCAATCTGAATTCAAAAAATACAACTGGTTGATCATTGAAAATGAAAAACTTAATGTTCCTTTTATAATTGGGGACCAAGAGATTGGCAAAGCTGGTATCACTTGACTGGTTGTTGCCTGAATGATGTTTCTCCATCTGGGTCTCTCAATAAATTTTGCCGTCGCTCATTGCCAATGTCTCATATTTAAGAAGGTAGTCGTTAGTGTCAATATACTCATTCGCAGTAAGTACTGACGCAATCAAACTTTCACTTCGCGTACTGAGTCTATCAGCCAGTGCTTGAAATGTATCATGGGGACGTTTTGCCGGTTACAAAAATGATTTTCCCCCAAGAGAAAGTGATTAATGAACATAAATGAACATAAATAAACAAAAATTACAGATGAAAAATTTATGAAAAGTTCGTTATATCGAGGGTAATTATGATGAAGGGACCCAAATATTGGTTCATAATAACGAGAGTTCGTTATATCCGGGGTTCGTTATATCGAGAAAATTTGTAAGGAGTCTGTAAGGCAGAATCCAAAGGACCAGACATTTAGTTAGTTATACCGAGAAGCGAGGGGTAATTCACTCTTGCAAATAGCGTACGAGACTTTCCCTAAAACAAAAGGATTTCCAGGGATTTTCAGATAAAACAATAGGATTTTCCTAAAAAGTGCACGAGATTTTCTTGGAGTGATTTGCCTCTCGCCGAGAAGTTCGTTATATCCGGGGTTCGTTAAATCGGGATTTCCCTTTATGTAGAAACGACCGTGGACAACGACTGAGATATCTAAAAGCGTGGAAGAAGGGGATTTTCCTTGCAAAGAGATGGTTCGCTTTAATCAGGTTTGCACTTATTTTCATGCCAACCTTCAATAAATAATTCGTTATTATCATTTTCCTTTTTATAGATGCAAACAATATAACAAATGGTAAGAACAACTTATCCGAGGTTCTGTAATTTATAAACTAACAACACACAAAGCAGGGAAGAAATGGGTAGTCTACAAATAAAAGAAAGAGAAATATGAAAGAAGAGTAACTGATGATTAACGAAGATCGATCGAAAAATCTTGGAAAGGAAGCAAAATCGTGGACTTTTTTACACAAACGGGAAAAGCCTAACCCTAGATGGATTCTGAGTTACTGATTTTTTGTTACAAAACCACAAACATTTTACAATTTTGGCTGCTGTTTTTGAGCTGGAGAGTGCGATAATTAAAAGACAACCGAATGTAATTTGTATTTTGTTAATTTTCCTGTTATGATACCTGCAAACACAAAGACAAAAAAAGAAAAGAAAATTCGAAACGCGTTGGCGTCTTCCGATTAGTTTCGAAAGGTAATAAGGGAGAATCTAGCCTGATAACCAGCGCACTATTCGATAGGAATAAAACTTATCCCTTTAGAATAATCAGCTGGTTATCAGGCTAGGAGAACTCTCGATCCGTGCAGAAAAAGAAGCTTTAACGCAGGGCCCGCGCCAGGAATTTGAAAATGGGGGGCCAAGGCAAAAAAGTAGGGGGCCAAGACTAAAAAGTAGGGGGCCAAGGTCTCTTACCCCTTTTACTGTAGCTTCAAAAGTACTTGCTTCGCAAAAAAGTGGAGGACATGGCCAACCCAGCCCCTTCCCTCCTGCCCCCGGTGACACGGTAAGCAAAAATCAGCTTTGATAAGGAAAAACAGGAAACAACTTGCAGCAGAATCATTCAGAGAAAGTGGAAAAATATGTGGCAAATCTAAGCAGGAATTCATGAACACAATCTAGCTGTTCAGCTTTAGAAAAGGCCAAACATGGGACAGCATGGTTCCACCACAAAATCAGAAGTTTCCTAAAGATATGAATCATTTTCCTTCAAATCTCCATGACAACACTTTACATCAATATGTGTGCAAAAAGGATGCTGTAAGCGAAAAAATTCAAAATCAATTCCCATTGCAGGGTCGATAGATGATATGTTGATTTGATGACTAAAGAAAAAGAGAATCAAAAACCAATGATGCAGCTTGAATAAAAAACTCTTGTCAAAGTCACACCAAAAGTTGCTTGAAAACTTGTGACTGTAAATGGAGCTCAATTAATTGAGTAATTTTGTATATTTGGGTTTAAATTTCATGTGCCTGTCACAAGAAGTGTGACTTTAGATGGAGTTATTTCGACTGTATCTGCCCTAAAATGACAAATAAATTGCTAATTTAGCTTTTTCTTCATTTTGTATTTTTAGCAAAATACAAGAAAACTGTTGGTCTGTCACAGGTGGCTATATTTGGCAGGACAAAACACCCAACATCCATAGCTACTGTACATTTCAAAGAGAAATTTCACATTTATTTTGCTAATGAGGGCTAAATTACCAACCAATGTGGTCAAATATTTCATCATACTCAATTTAAAAAAAATCATTGTTTAAAAACATATGGACATAATTCATATGCTCTTTTTAGGAATTGTTCAGAATTCTATCTAGCGACTTTAACTTTTGATGTCTTTGAAATATTTTATCGCATTTAACAAATTCACAGAAATATAGTCCATTCTTATTTGTGCAACATCAGGTTACAATTATAACTCTGATGTCTTCTTTTCCATATTAGCTGGAATCCTTGTCTTGTCTTGATTCTAATTTGAAATTAAGTAAATTACTTTATATTCAAATTAAACATACTCATCTGTATGGAGCTTAAATAAATTTATTGATGAGCATGAATATAGTGGCAGTTAGTCAATAATAAAAATTTTCTATGAAAATTTTAATGTTCTTAAATCAAAGCAATGAAAATTAGAATATCAGACAGCAAAAAAAGGATTTAGTGAAACCAGCAATTTCTGATCCCTTTTGCATTCTGGGATGCCTGCATTTTTCAAGGTTGATTCAATTGGCTTGTGGTTTTGGCCACTTGACCAGATTCCAAGCGAGAGGACCAGAACAATGAGGGTCCCTCTGACATGAATGTAAAAGTTGTTTTGTATACTGATAACTAATTCAAGCTTGGTTAGGCTAGTACTTTCATGAACAGAAATCAATACTCTGTCCTTGACTACAACTGGAGTCAAAAATTGGGAACTTCTGAGTATACCAAAGGCGGAATGTTTTCTTGAAAACTGTGGCTTTCTCACTTTTACCAAATTGATTATGATAGAAAAATACGGTCAAAATATGTTCAAAATTATCATAAGTACTACGACTACCATGGACAGGCCATGTAACATAAAATTAAATTCAACATGGCTACCTCATTGTTGCTTTTGATTCTGTGCTTTAGATCAAGTGCTGTCCATAGCAAGCTTTTTATCTCATCTCCACTGAAGTCTTTCAATGTTAAAAAATCCTTGCCAACAAATGAAGAGCTGTGGATGATTGCAAATTCATATTGGTTTGAAATCAATCATCTGAACTGAGCAACGATAATCAGGATAAAAAACAGGTTCCCATCTTGGGAAACTATATTTCTTAAATCACACGGTTGAAAGTGTACCAAGTTTAAATTAGGTATATGATAGCTAGGTACAGAGTTGGTACAAAGGTACTGTTTTAGCTTTTATTCTATTTATGATTCAAATGTGGTTTAACGTGAAATTGTCTCCAGTTTTGAGACAACAAAGAGGTCAACATTGCAAGTCGATTACCTTTTCCTTGACTGTTTATCCGTAGTTAAGCTCGATACCACAAAACATCTTGGAACTAGCCTTGCAGCAGTCTGTCTTACCAGCATCTTGAATTCTTCCGGTGGCAGCCTTTCGCATTGAAAACAGCCCCTCGGAATGTTTAGGTTGCCAGTTCGAAAGCATGAGCAGATGATGCAATCAACAACAACAACAACAGGATACAACCAGGCAAATTCTTATTGATCAAGTGATTTGCCCGAGTCTCAGTTATTAATGAAAACAATAAATTTGAGAAAAAATAAATGTGGGAGGGAGGGAAGGAGGGTAGAGAAGAAAGGGGGAAGGAGGGTAAAAGGGAAAGAGCGAGGGAAAACACCTTTTCCTCCCTTCCCTTATTTCTTTTTTTTCTCCTACCTCTTCTTTTTTTCCCTCCCTCCAGACTTGGACTTGGATAAATTCATTGTTTTTTCTTTGATTAATGACTGAGACTGGCGCGAGTCAAATTAATCAATTAATTCAGTCAAATGAGGAATTTGAACATTGACATCATCACCATTTTGATCACTTCTTGTCCTCATGTCATAATACACTAGGGAAATGTCATTTTTATAAATCTTCTTTCGTTTTTGGCATTATTAGCCCAAGCAACGACCCTACGAAGTAAATACCAAAATGTTCGGACAAAAATTTGTCGGACGTTTGATATCCAAACATCGATTTTGGATAAAACTTGAGAAAATTTTTAACAATTCAAGATTTTGGCCTTCTGTTCCCCTGATACAAAAATTGAAAGAAGTGTAGGGATTTTCCAGTAGTTTAGCCAGAGTGGTAAGATTGGGGGGAGCAGCAAAGCGAGTTGAACGAGGGATAAATGAGGGCCCACTTCCTTTGCAACGCCATAACACACATCCCATTTCAAATATATTTTTGCCGTTGGAAGGGGGGATTCCACCTCCTCTTGCCACCCCATCACTACACCACCGGGGTCTTCATACATTATGGAAGGGATCTTTATCTCTATAATTTCAGCAGTGATCTGACTGAAGTAACAGCTGTCTCGATATAAGCCTTTGATGATTGAGTCTTTCATGTTAATAAAAATGCCAAAGACATTTTCACTAATTCCACTGAATGACAGTTGTTGTTTCTTATATTCTAAAAGCTGAGACAAATGAGCCACCAAAGAAGTTGGAAGGATAACTTCGATGAAGTGGTCCGCTTTTAGATGGTCAATTTGTTTAAGTGGATTGCTTGGCAAAAGAATCTTGGAATTTTAAAGAAAATCATATACAGCAAGTGTCGACTTTAGTTTTCCAGGGGCTGGCTCTAAATTTCGAATGTAACAATTTTATTATGTAAAAGGGAATCATATCGTTAGCTAGGTGCTTGTGGTGATTTCCTATCTCGAAAATTGACAATTAAACACATCAAAAACGTCCTGTTAATAGATAATCTTGACTTCCAAAAGAACTTTTTCGATTTTGCATCTAAAATTCAATTGTTGTAGTTGTCCTTCAGGTCGTTTGACCCCTGGTGATGTTACGAACCTGACATCTCCATTCAGCCCTATTTTTAGTGTCTTTGTTGAGCTGATAAACATTTCTTGTTGTCAAACCACTTTGTGGCAGGTCGTCCTCTACCTCTTTTCCCCTTCAATTTTTCCTTGCATTATCAGTTTTTCTAAACTGTTGTCTGCTCTATTTATGTGGCCATAATATGTTAATTGCCTCTTAATCAATAGTATTGCAATCAATCAATCAATTGCTTTTAATCAATCAAAATCAATAGTATTGATATATTTTGCTCTTTACCGTAAATCTGCTATGCATTGAAAGGCTGCCATGGGGGGCTGAGTTCCCAAAAAAATTCCAGCAGGGGCTCAAGGCCCAAGCCCCTAAGCGTTGCCTATGGTGAGTGGGCTTTCTAGAGACAAAAACAACAAAGGATTGATATCTTGAGTGTCATAATCGAGCTCTACTTTTTCATCGGACTAGAGACGTAGGAATCAGGGAGACACGGGGGCATCGTGTCCCCTAGTTTTAAGTGGGAGTAAGTACCCCTTTAATTTGAAACTTATTGTCACAGTGCTCTTTCTACCCCTTTTACCAGATATTCTTGACAACTTGACAACGACATGACAACGACAAGCTTTTTACCTAAAGGCGTGCTCCCCCTTGAATACCCTAGGTACCAGAACCATATAAGTTCGAGTGCAGCATTAAAAGACAGGAGCGGGAAACGGAGGAGCATGTAAAGACCCCTTGAGAAGTACTCTCTTGAGTTATTGATCCTTTACAATCCCTGCATCTGGTTGCATGCATTCGATGCCGACGCGTTTCTGCAGTTGCAGAAAACAATTATTTAACAGAAAAAATTTTTGGATCCTAATATCCTCGGACAGTTTAATTTTCGGACAATGAGATCGTTTCTACACGTCCGAAAAACAGACAAAGAGCATATTTATAGCTTCTTACATCGAAATATCAAATCAAATTAGTTTTTATTGGCAATGAGCACCAAATCTCTTTTGAAGTATTTTCATGCAAATATCGGAAAAATCAGAATGCTGTTTGGAAAGCGGTCTTTCTATTAAAGCTCGGTTTAGCAGGTGACAAAATGTCTTGAAATTGAATTGACCCAACATTTAAAGCTAAGCAAATAGCATTTGCATAAAACTAAGCATGAATGACATCCAGACACTACCATTTTTTAATCCAAAGATCATAAAACGCTTGCAATCTTGAAAAGCTTTGTACAAAGGCGATTTGTCAAGAATATGTTGTTTTCAGCGATGAATGCGACTGCCAGTGCTGAGGAAGAAGCTTCATTACAACTGATTGTTTACAAAGGTGAGTGAATCGGTCAGTAGCCTTCAAATCCTTGTTTCTAGCCAATGCCGATCTGCCTGCTCAGCCCTAATGACCTCTTCACTCCAAAGCTCCGAGGCAGCTTTTCCCATTCGATACTCTCTTTTCTGACAAAAAGTTTCATTTAATACCTTAACTAACGCTTACTCCATCAAGAGCATGCCTAATTTTAAGGGAAAATTTATCATGGCAAATTTTGCTGAAAGTAAGTGTTTTTGGTGGCGCCCTTAAGAAAAAAATTTCTGGACACGTTCATAATTTTCGCTTTATCTGCTTGCTTAGTGATTTTTATTGATAATGCAATTGATATCGGCAACCACAAGCCATTCAAAATATTAGCATATCTTAATTTTTCGACTTAGTTAAAAAGCAATAGACTAACTGCTGATGTTTGAGGTGTTCTGTTCTTCACCTTTTCTTTATTTCTTCGTTTTTCCACTTGGTTTCATTATCGTCTTTACATTCAAAAATAAATCACGTTTGGCAAAATTCGATGAAAAGTTCTGCTAAAATTTCTGTAATTGAAATTGGATATATAATTCTCAAGCAGCTTTGTTTTCATAATTTTATAAATTGTTTTCATTAACTTTGTTTTATTATTTAGCCCTGGCCAATAGTGTATTAGGTATGTTCAGGGCCGCGGAGAAATTTTGGAGGGCTTGTGTCAAAACTAGAGGACATAGCCCTCTGCGAGCAAAGTGGGCAGAAAATTTTGGCAAACAAGTCCTTTTTGCTAGCTGAAGATGCTGTTCGAAATTATTTTTTGCTGTCATTTTTTTGCACTTGATTAAAACGTTTTACCTCTAGACCTCGAGGCCATGGGTAAATTTTGCCTTGACTCGGTAAAAGCATTTTTTGTGGTCAGCGGTAACAAATAATGCAAAAATTTCCTTTATTTATCTTTTTATCTTATTAATCTAGAAATGAAAAACTTCATTTTCAAAATGAGCGTTTCCAGCATATTCCAGTCACCTGAAGGGTGTGCACCAAAATTCAATAATTATCTAACACCCCCCTCCCTATCCTTGTATCTTAAATCCACCCCTGACCATGAGGCAATTCACCGCCCTGCCCCCTCTTTTGATTTTCTTGGGTATGGTCAGGCTATCAAATTCATTTTACAGAGTTGAAAAATGTCAAAGCTTGTGAAAAATGCTTAAAATTTTCATACAATTACTATTAGTACTAGTTTTGCTACTGTACACTTTTCCTGTATATCATTACACAAAACCATTATATTATTGCACAAATTGAATTTAAATGCACCTTAATATTAGATATGCTAAAGAGGGATCCTTCCTGAACCCCACTGAAAATTAAGCTTTGACAGTGAGTCAAGAATTTTACAGCAACTTGCAAATGTGGTTATCTTTGCTTCTCAAATTTGATTTATGGTTCTTTCGTTTCTATGCTTTAAGCTAAGGATTGGAAGCAAACGGGGTAAGTTTAAACAATTAGGAAGTAATTCACCCTTTTTTGATATGTTACATTTTATAGATACCTACAAGCAAACTTTATCTATTATTGCAAAAAATCACTGTTGAACTGTAATTCTAATCCCACAACCCCAGATATTTACAATTTCATAAAATTTAATAAATAGGAAAAAGGAGAAGCAGGAACGGATTTAAGCGGCAAGGATTTGGGGGATAATGATTAGGATAATGACTGGGATAATGATAATGATTGGGATAATGGGACAATGATTGAATTTTGGTGTCACAGCCTTTTGGTGACTTGAAAATAGTAAGAAACGTCTGTTTTTGAAATGCAATTTTTAACTAAAGCAAAGAAAATAAATAAAACAACTTTTTGCATCATTTTGTTAGTACTGAATTCCAAAAAATGCTCTTTATCAAATCGAAGCAGAATTTATCGAAGAAGACCCCCTTGCCCTGTCCGCACTTGTTGCTAGGTTATGTTGTCACGACTGTGTAAATAAGGATCTCAGCTTTTAAATAAGTGCCGGAATAAACACTTGAAGGTTGTAAATATCAAATCAACTTGTATGCATTAGGATAGGAGTAATACTTAAGAGAGACAAGAGAATCAGGTTGAGATTGCTATCAAAAAGGAAAAATAGGCACAACAAAGTATAAGATGAAACAAGATTAGCGCGTAGAAAGAAAAAAACTGATCCTTAAGCATAACTTATTATGCATACAGCTGTTTCAAGCTGGCAGTCTCTTTCCAGATGGATCTGTTGAATAGTGTATGTACGGGTTTTCCTGCATTTTTGTGTACGGGGAGTTTGACGAGTCCAAGTGGAATAAGAATGATCATTTTGACTTTCAAAAAACACTGTTTCGTAAACATTTAAACTTTCGTCTTC